TGAAAAAAAAGCAGAATTTCTCTCCTTTCAATACATCAATAGAATTATTTACATCTGAATAATCTAAACTAACCGTATACCAACATTGTCGACCTTAGTTATATGATTTGCACCTATATTCTAAACTCACACCCATAGTATTGAAGCATCAGACAATCGAGATTATCAATAAGTTCCATAGTAGATGTAGTCTATTTATAGTAGAAAATGTTTTGAAGGACATCGTATTCGAAGTCTTAAAAATTTTCATATTTTTTCTTTACTTTGTTTCGCTCTTTTAACAGACATCGTGTAATAAAAATTGATCATAAAAATGAATGATTGAAGGGAAAAAATAAAACACGCTAACTTTGCAAATTTTTCATATCTTATTGATAAAGTTTTTGTTTGCTTAATGAATTGTTCCACAGATTGTTATTTTATACAATCAATAAGGTAACTATATTCTTATGTAAATCGGATTAATATTGACAAGGTCATCAACAAACTTGTAATAACATTAATTCTTCATTGAAGTTTATGACGCCTCTTCAAACAAGAAAATACACATTGTTTTTTTTAACTCTTCAATTAATAGCAATAGTAAATACATTGCTAATGTCTGTATGGACGGGTGAATACAAAAGTTAATTCGATTTCACAGCAAAGAATTGATTAACATGTATAGCCTTGAAAAATGAAAAACACATATACAAATAAATTCAACTTTGTTAGTTTGCTTCATTTTACACTCAATTAAAATAGGTAATACTTTATTCGACTCTTATTTACTTCTAAACAAAATAAAAAAATTCAGGTGATTATATAGGCTTCTTCTTACACATGATTAGATGACACAATACTCACTTTGAATACTATTCATTCTCAAACAACATTTTTAAAAAGTACAAATATTCCTATTTGAAAAAAGACAAGTGTGTACATGTTTGCCGCTGTACTAATAAAAGATGTTCTCACTTCAATAAGTTAACTCAAGAGGTAGGCATTACAGTTAATTTATTGCTTTAGAGGCAGATCTAGGTGCATTATTTAGACTCCAATGTGCTATGAATAGTTTGAGAACAGTTTGGATTACTAGTTTATTGTTGAAAAGACTCAGATTTTTTACAATACCTTTTAAATAAATGACATAATCCATCTCAAAAATACTACGATAACTGACTTTTGAATTTTAATATGAAACTTTGTACAGAGACAGTTATTAATGAAAACAATTGATTGTGAAAGTTTCATATTATTTTGAGTTATTCCTATCCTACAATAACATTTGATTAATGTTTGTCTTTATGCAAATTTTCTAGTCAAAATCTGAAAATCAGTTTTCCTAATAAGTATTCTTGAGGTAGAAAACGCCATTGACTAATAAATATTACAAAAATACAGCTTCTCCACAGGAATCAGCTAAGAACCCAAACCCTTAGGATATTTATAGCTCATTACGGTCCAAATGATACACATAGTTTCAACTCAAAAGCGATCAATGATTTAATGATATTCATCATCAGATAACGTTCATGGTAATAAGTTGTACGACATTATTATCATTTTTCGTTGTATCCTTGAACAACTTTATAATATCGATTCAATTTTTCTTTTATAGAACTTATTTTCACAATTTTTTATCATCAAAAGAAGAAAACAGATGGCAAGTAATCTACAAAGACAACGACCTTTGTCTATTTCAACAGTCAATTTCGATGTTGATGATTTTGAAAGATTACCTAGAGAAGAATACATGTAAGCAGAAAAATCAGGAAAAAACAGAAAATTATTTTTCTCTTCACTATATAAACTCCCACATATTCACGAAAAAATAAATTCGTTGAGCAATATTTTTTAAAAAGAAATTCTTCGAATGTAATTTATTGGCTACATAAAGGAGTAGTATCATTATTGTCATTCTGATCAAACTAATATTGAAAAGTATTAAAAGTACAAGATGAAAAAGAATTTTTATAGGTTTCTAATATTAACTGAATATTGTTCAAAAAAGAAAAGCTTGCAGCATATTTTATAAATGATTTATAGTAGCTCTTATCCTAGACAATCACATAACTTCGATGAAGCAACATCATTAGATTCGGATAAGAGAAAAAGTCGTTGGTGTTTGATAACATTGATCATCTTTTCTATTGTCATTACTTTAATATCGGTGGTAGGATTGATCATTGCGATTTATTCACTCGTGTTGAACAATAGTAAAAATGGAGCAATTACAACAGTTACGAATTCTAATACAACAACAGTATCCGTTACAAGTATGTATACTTCTTTTGACAATAAAAATACATACGAAATTCGAAAAAATGAAGTTTTTTTTTTAAAGCCACCGATGTTAAAATTCATAATCAAGTATTTAATTGAATTTATCTTATTGACGCCGTTATCAAATAGCAAAATATCGATTTTTATTGTCGAAGTTTAGATGTAAATACAGGAGACGATTCAAGTTCTTATACATAATAATTTCTATAGAGAGTTCAAAAACATTTCATTAAATAGTCATTTTAAAGAATGAATAAACAGTAATAATTATGCTGTTGAATATTCTTCAAGTATTTCGTTAAGTTTTCAAAACAGACATATACAACCCTATAGTTGCTTAGTTGCTAAAACCCATCAAGTTGATGCTGAACTCGAATTCAGTCACATCTGAGTTGGAACGTGGTAGACCCTTTTCTGCTCAGAAGTATAGAGTAATATCTGTGCAAGCGAATTTTTTCCAAATATATCATATCAATTGATTGAAAAAGTCATTTCAAAATATTCAAAAGAAAAATTAGAAGTCGATTCCTTCAATTGCAATACAAATTTTTTATGGTAATAAGACATCATTTTCTTTTTCAAAACGGATTAATTTATTTAGGACACTTGTGCTTGGTATAAATTTTAGAGAACATACCAATTTTATTCTACTCAAGTTTTTGTCATTTTACAAAACTTTAGTTTGCTATCTCTCACTGTTGGAATAGTACAACATTTTCTGATAGAGTGACTTTTCGTTTAAAAAAAAACTATACATCGTTAGCAGTCTTTACTTTTCTTTCATTAAAAAGTCTTTATTTTATACTAATACAGCATTAACGACGTCTTTCTTATGTTCATCCTCACCCGCTACATATTATCAATATACGACTCTCACACCACCTCAATGTTTAAATTATACAACTGACACCGATGCAACACGAAACATTGGCTATACAACATCGATTAATTTCTGTGATAATAAATCACCGTTTACTAATGCGACATCCGTATGGATTCGTTTTCAAGAGCCAGCAGGAACATTGATGGCAAATTCACCTATACCACCAAACTATTGTGGTACCGTTGTCACTGGATGGTATGCTGGTCAATATCCATCAACAGTGTTTACTACAGTCACAAGTATTGTCTGTTTCTATTACGGAACAAATACTTGTAGTTCTTGCACTGTAATATCAGTGACAAATTGTCTAACTTTTTATGTCTTTTTACTTCCACAACCACAATCCTGTAATTATCGTTATTGCACTTTGTGATTTCATAGCAATTATCATGATTTAAGTTTCATTTAAGATGAATCACTAGACATGTTTTTTTTTGTCTTTGTCTAAACGATCTGAAATTGTAAGAAAACCTATTTACTTTCATATTATATATATATAGATTAGATTTAGTTAACAACATAATTTAGCAAATAAAAAAAAACAATGCCAATGATAAAAATAAACATTGAATGATTTTGTAAAAGTGAATTGCAATTATTAATGTTTTGTATAAAGAAGAATTCGGTTTAAATTCAATTATAAAATAATATCATAAAAAGAAATGACTTTCTACACTAAAGTTATTCTCAAAATATATTATTTCAAACCAATAATCGATATTTCATTATTGAATGAGAAAATTAACTAAAGCAAAATCTTTACTAGTTGGTGAACATCTTTCAATTATGAATGGTCTTTGGTCTAACAAAACTTCTTTTGCTATAAATACCGTTCTCTAATGTGAAAACGTTTTTTTGACCTCTTTCTCTTTTCTGTCACCTTTATCGTATTCACTACAAGGACATTTTGTCTACTATTTGACTGCTGTTCTTGCAAAATAAAGAATGACCTCACAATCCAGCCTTACTTTGCAAGGAAGAACACTATCAATTCATGATAATAGCTTATCGCAAGGCAAACTGGCTGATAAATATAATATATCACTAGATTCTGTCCCGAATATTTACATGATTATGAAATAAGTCAGAATCAAAGTTTTAAACGAAAATTAAAATATCTCATTTACACAAATACTAGATAATCAAATTTATCAATTGTTTGTACAAGGTATAAAAAATATTAGTTGATAAACAAAAAGACAAACAATATTAGATGATTCTTTTTAAAAACAATCAAATTTTGTGTTATATGAGAAAAATCTTTCAAATCAAATCATTCACATGAAAATAGAAAATAAATAATTAGATCTTTATGTATGACTAATATAGAAGTAAATTTTCTAGAAGATTTTCTTCATTTAACAGCAAACCAGGTTCCAACTCTCTAAAATGAACACTATTCAAAAATCCAGATGATGTTCACAATAGAGAGATTTTGCTATATTTATTTTACATAGTCAATCAACACAAAGAAATTATATATCAGAACAAAAAACAAAAACACATGAATTTACGCTTATTATTATTCTTTGTTGCTTTTGTTGATCAAAGTAAAAACAAAGTAAATAATTACATAAAACGAATATGAAAATGAAGAATTCAATACATTTTATTATGACGATAATCATTTGATTGTAGATGATTGAATTGTATTCTAACATAGATTGCTATCACATAGTAATGAAATAAAATTTTGTTGTTTTTTTGTATTTAGCTTATTTATATAAAAGAAAACAATAACAGTAAACCTGATCCTATGTACAGAAGAATATGGTTAACCTGTACATCAAGATACAGACATGCAATGATCAATGAAAGAAAAAAAGAAAAACGAACAATTTTTATTGTTATTTCATTTGCGTACAACTGTCAATCGAAGAACATTGGTCGGTAGGGCTGGACGAACAAATGACGAACGTGTTTGAGATGTTGATGTATTCGATGCTTGTGATGATGTTGTTACTAAACATCCACTTAAATCACCTGTACCATCATCATACATCGATGAATCATCAACTAATCCTGTAGTTGTTGTTGTGGTTTGTGAAAGTGGTAAAGCGGTACCGGCTGTTGTTATTATAAATTGTTGTGGTTGTTGTGAAGAGGATGTAGATGGTGTTGTTGTAAGACGAAATGTTGTTTGTTGTTGCTGTTGCTGTTGTTGTTGCGGACTGGTTGTTGTAGCTATTCGTCGTATCTAAATAAATGATTTTCGAATTTTTGTTCATATCAATCTATGGTACGAAAATCTTGACACAAAATATTAGTTTATCTTTCGGCTACTAAAAGACAATTTAGTAGTAAGTTTTGTAACAAAAACTTTAAAAGTGTGTCTGTATAAAGCAAAATAGTAATTTTGGCGCAGCCTGTAGTTTGTGTATAGGAATAGATTACACTCAGCGTTATCTGAGAGTACTTAATTCTGTAAAGAAATGAAATATTACAGCAGATGAAGTTTCATTTAAGTGTTTCTACTAAAAAGCTAATTTCGATGGAAATCAATCTTTGTCAAAAAAATTGCATTTTGAATTTGATAAATTTTAACCGACATACAAAATTGTATTCTGTACAATATTGATCTTTTTGAAATAACCTGATAATAGTCATCCAACATTTCTTCACAACAAAATTTTCAACACTCACTAAGAAAGATCGATAGAGTCTGATTTTAGTTAACTGCTTCATCCTCTAACTAACTGTCTTTAAATGACCAATAAAGAATGTGTATCTTATCGCAGAATTTCTTTCGATTATCTATGTCTGTGAATTTCATTTCGATGATTATTTCTTACATCTACTCTTTTTGAATATTCATCTTTTACAAAATAATGAAGGTATCATCTCAGAATATCATTGAATAATGATTGACTCTTTCATCACAGATTATTATATAAACTTACAGTCATTGTTCTTGGTTGTTGTGCAGCAGCAGCCGCAAGCAATGTTGCTTTGATATCAGCTGTTGTTACATGATGTGGTGTTGTTGTTGTTGTTGCAATAATACATGGTTGATGATGATGATGATGTTGTGTACCATCATATGTTGTTGTTGTTGTTGTTGTTTTAAGTCTTTTAATTGGTGATAATGTTAAAATTTGTTGTTCATTACTACGTTTAGCTTGTAAATGTGGATGATGTGCAGATGATATAATAACTTTTGCTCGAACATGTTCAACAATTTTTTCTGGTACTAATGCTTTAATTGGTTCATGAGCAGTTATGGATGTTACAGCTGTTATAGCCCATTTTTCATAAATACCTTGTTTTAATGTATATATACCACCAAGACGTGAATATGATTTTCTTATTTGTTGAACAAAATACATTTGTAACCAATAAAAAGCCATAGCACCACTATCAAAACGTGATTCACGCCAATCACGTAATTGTGCTGCCTATATTTAATCATGAAAAACTTAATGAATTATTTTGAAAAAAAAGAAAATTTTATTTTAACATACCACAGCTTGCATTGGTTCACAAACAAGTCCTTTAATACCTGAATAAGCATCGAATAGATCATATTTTTTTAATACCCATGAACCAAGATCAGTATCAACTAATGGTAAAATGATTTGTTCAAAATAAGTTCGAAATTCTTGTGTCCAATTTGATTTGCAACGATCATATAAACGTGTAAATGTTAACATATCAGCACATAATAATAATGATTTAAGTTCAGCATTATAAAATTGATAATCAGCTTGTGTACGACCGTTCTGTAATAACCAAGCACGTAATTGTGAAAAAACATAATTCCATGTATGTATAACACGTAAATGTGGTAGAAATATTGATAAATAATTATTTTTTAATGTATTACCTTCACTGTCAATTATAAATAAACAACGTGATTCAATATTTGGACATTGTTGTTTTAAATGTGTTAAAATATATTCATAAACATCATCTGAACGACGATTATGTAATGCACAACCTAATGAGCGAAAAAAAATCTTTTTTAGAATTTCGTATCAAATATAAGACTATGACATAAATAATATTTGCATAAAAAACTTTCATATCATGACTTAACCATTAGATCTAAGGATGTTATTATAACAATATATTATTCATCATTTAATATAATCAACATAGCTAATCTCTATAAAATATTGTGAGTCCATGTAAAAATTTATTTCAGATTAAAATGTAATAACAAATTGAGAAAATGCTAATGATCGAAAAGATTGATGAATTAGAGCAACAAGTATCTATCGGGACTATTGAAAATTTATTATTATTTATCAAAAGTAACATGACGGCACATATCTATCATAATGATACTTTCATATACGGTGAATAGAAGTTTTTCAACTCTCGAAGCAGAAAAAAACATATTCGTCGAACTTTTCATACAACTTACCAAGTAAAATACATGGTTCTTCTTTCATACCAATATGTCGGTAAAAAACACATGTAACATGAAAGGCATTAATTGTATATGCTGAATCAAATGTAATAAGTACTTGTTGTTGTGATAAAAGATCCGGATGCTCTAATAATAAATTAAATTCATGCATTGATTCATTTGAAAAAGCAATAGCAACAATATTTGGTATTAATGTAAATCGAACAATATAATTTGGTGTTTCACGTGCAAAACGATATAATTCTGATATTTCATCAGCTGATGCAACAAGACGACGTGCTAAACGTCTTTTAACATTACGTATTTGTTCAATATTACGTGGTTGTGATAATACTTCAGGTCCTATTTTAGGTTTTTTTGGTTCTGTTTTAATAATAGAAGGTTTTTTATCATCATGATCATCAACTGTTTCTTCTGTTTCCATTGAATTATTAACTGTTGATTCTTCTTCATCATCATCATCATCATTATCATCATCATCATGTGAATGTGAATTATTTGATGTATATTGTTTAAATATTTGTGCTGTTTCAGCATTTGATGCTGCTTCTGATATAAGTTTATTAAGTAATGATGGACGTGTACGAAAAAATGGTTTCGTATTTTTTTTTGAATTTCCATGTGGAAATTCTTCAGCAACATTTTCATCACCAAGATATTGTACAACAACTTTCGATGGATCAACTAATGATACAAATGCTTGTTTTTCAAAATCTTTACTTTTCTTTTTATTTTTTTGTCCAGCATGAAAATAACATTTTTTTATAACAGGATTATGTGTTGGTAAACGTCGTGCTGCTATTTGAACCCAACGATATCCATCACTACGCCAATCATCTATAATAAACAAAAAATATACATCAACTATCCGTGATATACCTTTGTTTTTTTCCAAAATGATTCCAGATTTTATTCATAAGAATTTTCCAGCGGATGAACAAAGGTATTCATCGGAATATGAATACTTACTTTCATGACCAATGTCAAGTTTCATAACATAAACTTCGCCAGCTTTAGGTTTAAATGGTGGTGTTGATGTAAATGTTGTTGTTGTGGAATCAAATAATGGTATAACTTGAGTTGCTTCAAGTGATTGATGTCGAACAAATGATGGACAATTTGTTGTCATTATGAATTAATATCAGAAGTAAGATTTTCTGATATTAAGAAAACAAAATTCTTTTTTAATTTTTATTCAAACCGGAAGAATGTTGAAAAGAAAGTAGATTTCAATGTTAGTATTGATGGAATATCAGTAAACAAAGACACATCAATGAAAAGGTAATCATATGTTATCAATGGTGTAAATTGATTGAAAAAGAAAAATAAATAATAAAATTTATATTTGAAGAATGAAAATATTTTAAATAATTTTTTTTTTATGATGACTCTTTTTTCTGTTTTCTTTTTTTTTTTTTGAATGTATTATTCTATTATTGATAGATGGCACTAATGAAAATAAATAATATAAATAGTGTAGTAGCATAGATAATCAACAGTAATCAATTATATATACATGATTGTTTGGAGTTGTTAGAGTCAGTATAAATATTTCTATTGGTGGTTACACGTGTAAATTATTTTTTTTTCTCTCTTTATTTGTTCTGTTTTGCTACGAAAAAACCATTCTTTTTTATGACTATCTATGAATTGCTTGTGTATTCTTTTTCAAGGTAAGCAAAAATAAATGGGGTCGTATGAGTATAGATATCTGTATGACTTTTTTTTTCGTTTACAAATTAATAGTGAAACTTAAGAAAGACGAAATAATTTTCAAAGATTAATGTTTCGTTTTGTTTTTCTCTTATATTGATGGTATAACTGATTTTTTATTTGATTTAACTTACAAGTTTGAGATTAATGCAAGCAGAATGATGTCAAATAAGTACATAAATTTGTTTATCAAGGTTCTTTTTTTTATTTAATAGAAATATATACTTTTGATTTGAATTAGAAATATTTGTTGTTTTATTTTTTAAAATATCTCATTTATGAATAGATTTAATTAAAACCGTGCTTATTAATCTATTTTTAATAATTAAGTAGGACAAATATGATAATAAAAGATGTTTTCAAGTACTATTAATTGACTATTGAGCACATTTTTATTTAACTTTATATTAATCATTATATTAAAACAAAACATGTAAAAGTATCGTAATTTAGTGTATTTTCACTTTTTTTAAGAAGTCATTCGCTTTTTCTTCTTAAATTAGTTCGATGTAATACTAGAAATTAGTATCATATTCTTTTCTTAAAGATCTTTGATGCATTTATAAAAAGATCTGTATCGATTTTTTGAGTCTTTCTATAATAAGGTTTTTACTTTTTGTGTAAAACTGATGAGATGACCAAAGACTTTATCTCATGTGTCACTAGTTTATGACTCTTATTAGTTTTCTATATCAATCTTAAGCTCAAGTTCACATTCGAAAGTCTATTTATAATAACATTCGATATGTTCGTTGTAATTTGATCAAATAGATTGATCTCTTTATTTTTAAGAAATAAGTAGAAATGATTTATATTTGATAAGAAAAAAATGTTCTTTTTCGAAAATAATTTCAATCAAGTATAGTACATTTTGCTTTTTATTTTCTATAACAGGTTATAGCATTAATCTTTTATTCATACAGATGAACTTTTACAGTACTTCTTAATACGGTACTTATTAATTGAAATATAAACATTTAGTTGTTAGTTTTTGAATCTAAAAATTATCTACATCATAGAGCATGTTATTTTTATTTAAAAAATTGTTTTAATGAAACATCATTACAAGAAAAAAAAACGTAGGCGATCATATGGAACTCAACAGATCCAAATACTTCTTCTATTTAACAAAAAAATTCATAGAAAAAGAAAACAGGCGAACTTCCACACTTTATGAACGGTAGACTAAATCTTATTAAATTGAGTTTTTTCTATGTGTATGCTAGGACAAATATAGTTTAATTATTGACACAAGGTTTAGACAAATAAAAAATTCATAAAAATACTAAAAAAAAAACGAGTCTATGAAAATAGAACATATGCTGCACTTGGTGGTAGTATATATTTGCAGTTGAATGATTTATCAATGTTATTTATACAATATGTTTATTGCATCCACATCCCTAAATTTGGATGAAATGTATCTCTTTTGACAAGCTAGGTTTTTTGTAAGACAGATTAGTCTTTAAAAAGTTTTAAAGATATTCTATTTTCAAATAAATGTCAGTGACATGATATAAAAGTACTTTCACGCGGTGGGTACATTCAACCTTTGATTATGTCGTAGAACATTTGCGGTAAACAAATCTTTTTTTTTTTAATTATAATGTAGTTTTAAATTCATATTTCAATACAAATAAACTTGTGTTGACAAATTTAAGTAGAAAAAAAAACAGTACAATTTTTAATGACGTCTACCATGGGAGGAACTCGATCAATAGTTATTTTCAAATGAAAAATAATGGATTTATTATTTTAATGAAATTTTATTCACTGTTAGACCATAGAAATTTAAGTACATTGTATTTTTTTTCTTTTTTTAATTAACGATAAATTTTTGTTTTTGAAATCTATATTTGCAAAAAAGAGAAGAACATAATATGTTTATTTGCACCTATTTAAACCCGATTTCAATCATACATTGTGTTTACATTTTGACCCTGTTTTTCTTTTTTGTTTTCAAATCATATCTCTATATATATTTTATGTGTTTGTTTTCTTTTTGTTTAGATTTTTTATTATGATTTAACCAGTAAAACTATAATCAATAATGGCATCTTCAGGTGAGATAAAAATCAACAAATTTTTTTCGATATATTGTCACATTAACAAATTCTATCATCAATATAAACTGATTAAGTATACAAGTGTACTAAATATTTCGTTTTTTTTCTCTCTTCTTTCAATTGATAGACGTATGTATACCTGCAAACATTATACAATAGCCTTCTTTTATTCGACATTTTTTTTCTCTTGCTTTCATTACTTCATCTGTTAACCGATGAAAAACAATATATTTGCCTTGTTCTTGAAAGCGAAGGAAAAAAAAAAGCAGCATGATGTGGCCATAAAAAATACGCATAGACGAAGGAAACTATCTTTGTGCGATTGTAGCAGACACTGATGTCAACAGTTATGTAAAAAAAAAAAAGGAGAAAAAAGAAGCTAGCCGTATCCATACGACGAGAAAATGGAGATTTATTACGAAGGAAAAATTATGAATGACAACTCTTATGCCTTATGACTGCTTATTACTTCAACATATCGTCAAAGAAACTTGCCATTTGTTCAATATATATATATGATACATCGAACTTGAGTTACAGACAATATAATCTTTTATGATTTGCTACTGCTTTTTCTTTTTCTTTTTTTGAGTGACTATCATTTCTTTATTCGTTCTTCTTATCTTTTCTGTTTTTTTTTCTCCTACTCTCATTTTCGTTCTCTGATATTGTCTACTTGCACATACTCAATCATAAAGAACTAGCAGTAGGTGTCATACACTTTGCGCATGATTTGGTGATGGCATTGCATGATAGTGTTAATATGTACTTCAATTTTTTTTTCTTATGTTTGTTTATTCGTTCTATTATTGACTCGTTCTTTTTTAGTGCGACGTACTGCTGGTAGTGGAAACATAAGTGAACCAGTAACTATAATTAAATGTGAAATTGATGATGAGATTGTTGGTGTTAATGATGGTATTGGAACAGTATCAACAGCAATGGCTTTAGGTATTAATTCGACGACAAATACATCATTTGGAAATAGTACTGATGGTTTAGATTGTGTTGTTTGTGGTGATCGAGCAACTGGTAAGAAAAAAAAAAACATTTCTAGGCCTTAATTATTATTATTTTTTTTTGATTTGTTATTATGTATTTTTTATAGGTAAACATTATGGAGCAATATCATGTGATGGATGTAAAGGATTTTTTCGACGAAGTGTTCGTAAAAATCCTGTATATGAATGTCGACATCAAAATAATTGTACTATTGATAAAGATAAACGTAATCAATGTCGACATTGCCGTTGGAAGTATGTTTATATTTATAAACATTTAATTCTTCGAATTTTTTATTTGTCATCTTTTTTTTTCTTGTAGAAAATGTATTCGAATGGGTATGAAAAAAGATGGTAAATATATTTATTTGTATTATTCTTTAGTATTCATGTTTTTTTTTTCTCTATTTGAAATATATTAGCGGTACAAAAAGAAAGAGATCGTCTTGGACGACAACGTAGTCATGTTTATAATTTTGGAACAACAAATGTAAAATCCAATGCAAATCTTACTGGTGATCTCGATGAGGATGAAGATGATCTAAGTGTAACAGCTCTATTAAAAGCCGAAAAAACTGCTCAAGAAGTATTCAAAAAGAAAAAAAATTTATTTTTTATATTTCAAATATTATTTTGTTTCTTCTTTTCTATAGTATGTTGGTCGGCAAATTCGATTAGATCGACATCCATCTAATACAGAACGTGTTCAAGCAACATTAGAAACAATTGGTATATCAATGAATTATCAACTTCGTAGTCTTATTGAATGGGCTAAAGATTTAAAAGGTTTTGTTGAATTATCCGATAATGATAAAGTAATTAAGAAAAAAAGAAGCTTCTGAAATATAATTACTTATTTTCTAACAAAAAACCCATTTTTTTATTTTTCTAGATTGCTTTGTTACGTGGTCATACAGGAGAAAATCTCATATTAGGTGTTGCATGTCGTTCATTAAACTGTGATGATTATTTACTATTAGGTAATCATTATGTTATACTAAGAAATGCATCTGATCCAGGTTTAAGTCGTGTAGCTGGTAGAATACTTGATGAAATTGTTAAACCATTAAAAGAGAATCAATTAGATGAAAAAGAATATGCGTGTCTAAAAGCTATCGTTTTTTTCGATAATGGTTTGTATTTATGATAACTAAAGATTCTTCTATATGAATATTTTGTTATTATTTTATAGATAATAAATCTTTATCAAATCCAATACGTGTTAAACAATTACGTAAACGTGTACAAGTTAATCTTGAAACATATATTAATCAACAACGACCATTAATGCGTGGACGTTTTGGTGAATTATTATTATTATTACCACCATTACAAAATATAGCTCGATT